ACTTTGGTATATTTTATCTAATGTTATATTTGGATTTCTCTTAAATTTGGAAATTGATGGGTCAAAAAAACCCATAACTCTGAACCGTACAGAATAATGGGTTTAATAGTGTGGTCAAGCACATTTAAAGCAGTTTTAACTGATGGATTAAATGAGAGAAAGTCTTTTTGAAGTTTGAAATAGGCTTTTTTTGCTTTATTACAACAATCATTTTTAGCGCTAGTTAGTGTTCCAGATGCATTAACTGTCAGACCCAAATACTTGTACTGTTTAACACATTCGATATTGTTGTTATTCAGATGGAAGGGGATTTTGATGTGCTTGCCAGATGAATTGAAGACTATAATTTTTGTTTTCTGTGTAATATTTTTGAGACACCAGTCCTTGCAGTATGTATTTAGTATATTGAGTTTTTCTTGTAGACCTTCAGCAGTGGGGGAGAGAAGCACCATGTCATCAGCATACATGAGACAATGAATAGATGTAGATGAATCATTGTTTAATTTTACAAAACTTTCAGAATTTGATAGATAATTAAGTAGATCATTAAGGTAAATCTTGAATAAGTTTGGACTCAAGTTATCGCCTTGTCTAACCCCATTGTATGTGTGAAAGTGACCAATTAATTTGTTACCCAGTTTAATAGACGAATAGCTTTTAGAATACATTTCCTTAACAACTGAGTAAAATTTTGTGCTGATACCTGCTTTTAATAGTTTAAGTTTCAAACCAGCATGGTTTATACTATCAAAGGCCTTATGAAAGTCAACGAAGCAAGCATATAGTTTCCCTTGTTTTGATTTGCAATATTTTTCAATAAGTGTTTTCAAAACAAAAACATGACCTGAAGTTCTAGCTTGTTTTGTAAATCCTATCTGACATGGATTGATTTTTTTATTACATTGTTAATATTTATCTAGTCTTGAGTTAAGAATATAATTAAAAAGCTTGCCAATTGTGCTGGTAATTGTGATTCCTCTATAATTGTTGGGATCATTAGTGTTGTTAGATTTGTATACTGGAGTGATGTATCCTTCACACCATGAAGAAGGATAATAGCCAAGAGATAAGCAAGCATTAAAGATTTTCAGTAAGACTGGTATAAGAAACATTTGACCATGTTTCAACATTTCATTAAAATTCTGTCAGGCCCAGCTGCCTTACCATTTTTTAGTTTGCTGATTGCTTTATTTATTTCATTCCAAGATATTTTGTAGTCAAGTTCATTAAAAATGGGTGTTGATGTTTCCTCAGTTTGTTTTAGTTGGTCTTTGAGAAACTGATCTTGATCATAAAAATCCTCATGAGTTTTATTCAATTTTTTGAAGTGGTTTATCCAATCATTATTAGAGATTGATGTATCAATTGTGCCTTTGTTTCCATTTCTTAATTCCCCTATAAGTTTCCAATATTTTTTTGGATCAGTTGAACCTAAAGTATTTAGCTTGTTAATAATATTACAATGGTATGTTCTAAATTTTTGTTTTCGTAGTTTGTTATAAATTCTATACGCTCTATAATATTGATTCTTAACATAAATATTTCTAGGATTGTGGCCATATAGAGTTCCCTTCCTTACTAGTTTTGAACGCATATGTATCAACTCATTATCAAACCATTTATTTTTATGTTTAGCAGGGCTTTTATTACTTTTACATGTTTTATTTTTAGGTAAATTTGGTTTTAATGACATAATGGCTGCAGCTTCCAGGGAATCTTTTAAACTTTTTACCCTTGATTCTATAGACTCTATGTCATTGATGCTCATGGAGTTATCAAAATTGTCTTTTATTTTTTTGGGACTGTAATGCTTCTATAAATTTCATAGCAGAGTCTTCTCCCCATTTAAAGGATGAATGGGTCTTGTATTGATTATTATCTATACTATTTTCTCTATTAGTAGAACCATATTGAGAAAAAATATTCCATGACAACATACAGTGGCAGTCAGATAATGTGGAAATAAAATCTGATACTTCAAAAAACAAAATATGTTGTACAGTTTCTGTTCTAGCATTAAAATCTCCACAAAGCATTATATTTCCTAAATCTTTAAAATGAAAAATATCTTTCTGTACAAGCTCCAAAATATTATTATTATTTTTTGTAATTGCAGGTGATCCTTCAGGGGGATTGTATACAGTGCATATATACAAATCTCTATCAAAATTGAAAAAAAGTTTTCTCTAATTTGATCCACTGGTATTCACTACATGTATTTTTAACTATAGAGACATGATCTTTAATTTCATGCTTAATTAATATTGATATTCCTCCATAGTATCTGCCATTATTAGATCTACTTCTACATATTGTATGACAGTAAAAATCATCATGTATAACAATTGTATCTGGTCCAATGTGTGTTTCCACAAGGAATACTAAATCTTTATCTATAATTCTTGATAGAAAAAGCTCATCATCCATTTTGTTCATACCTTTTGATATCAATCCTCCAATATTCCAAAAAGCACATTTAACATTTGTCTTGCTGTACATCTGATACATTCTAAATAAAAACTACCAAATTTCCAAACCCAAATCAAGAGAAAAGGTACAACACCCTTCAATACATATAAAACAATATATATTCTAGCAACATTATGTGAGAAAAAAAGGGAGTTGAAAATAAACATGATGGTCATGAGTACAGGTGCACCGATAAGTGGAGGTGGTGCAGTATTCCAAGTGTATTACTTTAATTCATATACTGGAGTAGAACACATAGCATTGTTTATATATATCATCTGTGTAACTGATAGGTAAAACCTAAAAAGATGATAAAAAAAAGTTAGTAATTATAGTTAAAGCCATAGCTGGCAGGTTGGTAAGATCTCCTTTCCCATGGTCCAGATGGTGCGAACTGGTAGTTTCGCGATCTCCGATGGTACGCGTACATCTTCTTTGGTGAAGCACGGCGAGAGTCTTGGTCTTTTTCCATCTGAATTGGAGACTGCTCAATTCCTAATGCTAGAAGGGTTGATCTTTTTATGTTGGAGGCTAACATGGCAACACCATCTTGTGTAAGATGGACATTGTCTCTTTCTAGGACTTTGGCATGCCTAGTAGACATGTTTATGTTATCACTAATATACACAAATGAGTCATCTTTGTATTTTTTCTTTAGAAGGGCATTGATCAGAGCACTATTTGCACTGTGTAATTCGTCATCTTTACGAGGAGTACATATAACATGGTCTATATAACATGATCGATTTTTAAAGGCGTTGGTGTGACCCTAATTTTCACATTTCAAAGAATTCAAATTCAATTCTTTAAATAGAGCGTTGCTATGGAAATAATATAAGGCTAAAAAACATGCATAAAAATCTAAAAAATATTCTGTTTCCTTGGATAAGTACCCTTGTATGTAGATTCCCAAAACTTAAATGATTGATATATATGAACAACTAACCTGACTTTCAGTTTTGACTACCATCCAATCTCTAACTGGATGGAAAAAGGTGGCACATAGGGTTTAATATTGACATAAAATTAACAAAATCCAACATTTTCTCTTCTTAGCAACAGTGTTGTATTTTTCAACAAACTTTATCAAAATATGATATTCAACTATTCAAGGTGAGTCAAATAACATATTTCTTGATTAAAAGGAAAGTAAATTCCCAGCAAAAAATATCACTTAAAACAACGAGTACGTTGTTTCCATGGTTACACTGCAAAGAAACAATTAATCCCAATTTTTCTTATGTTGTCGGTGTTGCAAAATCCTAAGGATGTATATGTGCCAGTCATGAATTTTATTGTTTTTCCTCAAGATAGTAGCATTAACCCAATCTTAGCAACAGATTTTGCATGGTAACACTGTGTTACCATGGCAACCATGAAAGTTATTTTTAGAATAACATTGCCAATACCTGATTTCTTAAGGTCAAATATTTTTATTGTTTTTCTTAAGTTGTTGATTGAGTTTGATCATGTAACATCTATCATCTGTGATTATTGAGCGTTTTTCAGCATCTAAAATGTATTCCAAATGTACCCATAGTTACCACTTACTTAGAGATAAATTCTAAATAGTTTCTTTATAGCATAAGTGGCAACAAGGTGTCATGTTTTTGGGAGAATGGTTTGTTTCGTTTTTCTTAGTCTTTATTAAGGCCTAATAAAGATTCAAAGTAGCTGAAAATCTCAAATTTTTTCAACTTTTCTGGCTGTTACCATGGCAACCAAGACACATAGCAACGAAATTTTATTTAATATATGTTTCTGGCGTCAAGTTGTAATAATGGGCAAAGTTTCATCAAAATCGGTGACCATGCGTGGCAAAGAAGTTTAAGTGGTTACAAAGAATCGCTATTAAATCCTTTGAAAGGGAACCAATGGTATAAGTTTGATTTTATACCAAATGTTTAAATTAAAGCCAAAGTTTTTCTAAAATGCATTTGTAATAATGAGCCTTTCAAAGAAAGACTAGGTTGTAACAAGCTTTGTCTGTTGGAACCATTGATCCCTTTTACTTCCTTTATCACTTCCAGTCTAGTCTGAGGACAGGCGGAAAGATTGTACACATTTTCTCATTTAATCGTCATCTACGATAATATGTTTAATACTATTAAAAAGACCAAACGTGAATGTTATGATAAATATGACTAGAAGTCTGTTCGGAAAAGCAAAGCCGAAATTATGTCCCTGCTATTTTATCATAATGATGTCGTCCTCTGTCCTTGCTTTCCTTAAGTTTTTGATAATCTAGAATTTCCGTGTACCCGCTTTCTCGTGTTGATGCGTCTTCCGTCATATCGTCATTGTCGGCCCGCCTCTGTTTCTGAACAGGTTTACTTATTGACGTCATCGTCTTGTCTTTGAGAGAAATAAGAGTAAGGTATTGCTCGTGAAGTGATTGAGCTTCCATGGTAGTCATTTCATCTCCAACTGTTTTCCTGTATGTATTGCATTTTTTCTCTGCGAGAAAAATTAAAAAATTAAATAAATATATTCATGCATTAAAACAGGAGACAGTAATGTAATTGATGATTTTAAACAAAGTTACCATAATACAACTTAGACCTCCTGGTAAGAGCACCTGCCACAGACAAACATATAATCCCAAATAGAACTCCTACCACACCTAGGATCTCTCCGCTGTAAGACTTTGCGCACTTTCCATCCGCGAGATCTGAAGAAAATTGAATTAAAGAAAAAGGGAATTGGATCTTCATTAATTCAACATGAAAGACAATGTCGATTAGTCCATGAAGAAATAAAAGGTATGTACACATAGATAGGACTCCGAAATGAAATAGTCGCTTGCTGCAGGAGTTACCTGAGATGATACACACAAAACTAACGATGTGAGATGGATGGTTAAGGAAAATACAGTTGTACACATTTTTTGATTTAAATACTGTTTGTAAATACAACATCGATGGAGTATGTTTGTTACACATATTTTAACCATTTTATCCAACGACTCAGCTCTGTTCACAGACATTAAATAAATTATGTATAACTCACCAACACAGCCAGTCTTGATATCACATTTCCGTGTTTCGTTACAGTTACACCTATATCGACACCCAAAGCCATAGAATCCATAAGAACACTTTTTTGACAGTCCCTACCATGTGCACCTATACACGCTGTAAAATACACAGTCATTGAATATCAGAGTGATTGTCTGCTGGATGAAAAGTTGTCTCTTGTTTCTGTTACCTCATCAATGTTCTCTTAAAGATATAAAACACCCCCCCCCCCCGAGAGAGAGAGAGAGAGAGAGAGAGAGAGAGAGAGAGAGATCATTTCTTTTAAAACCAAATTTTCCTCAATATATTTTTTTCTTAGATAAGAATTTTAAAAACAAAATTCCTACAGAGATTTTTGTGATTTGTCCATGTTGTTGTGTGTTTGTATAAATAAAATATAAATTCCTTGTTATATTTGTATATATAAAATAATAAAAATATAAAATAATAAAATATAAATTCCTTGTTATATTTGTATATATGTTTATATTGTTATATATATTTTCGAATATGTTCTTGTTAATGGGCGACAGAAAGGGTAAAAAGGACGTTTATGCAAAACAAGCAGTTTATTTGCGAAAACATACTAAAATACAAAACAAAAAGCTTAGAATAAAATCTACTGACTCCTTTGCAAAACGAACGACCACCAATGCAAAACCAACAGTCATTAACTAAATTGACGCTAGAGATTGATCCGGCCCACAATGAAAAAAGGAATTTAAGGTCAACAAGCTGAAATGTAGTGGATATTGTTGATACCTTTTGGGAATAGAATGAAAGTTAAATTTTAAAAGTTTTCATGATATGCATTAAGGTGGATTTCAAGCATAAATTATGTATAGAAACGTGCATTGAAATGGGAGATATTTTCATTTGTTTACACTTTTTAAACCGGTCAAATGCTATTCTGAGGTCAGAAGCTATTACTAGGGACTCCACTTTTGAACACCTAATATTTAGCTGACATATTACTTTATCATGCGCCTTTTTAAAAAAAGCTGCAAGCCATGCAAGTAAAACACACGTTTTTCACTATTTAAGTCTATATTTTAGCTAATACAGGTAATGGCGCAAGAGTCTGTAAACTATGGAAAGCCATAAACATGTTTATGCATAAATTGATTCTTTTTGTAGGCCCCAGACACATAGTATCAGAGCCCCTCCTCTTTTTTCTAAACAAATGTTTCACTGTTAATTTATATGTAGTGCAAGAAAATGTTCGCTAAAAGGCTGGTCCCCCCCCCCCCTTCCTTGTAGGATAGTCAGTTCTTCTCATGTTAAAAAAAGATTTTCTGGTCAAAAAACTTGGAACCAACTCCCCCTTCCCTTTTCAAGTTTGTAACCTACCTTCCGTCACCCCCCCCCCCTTTTGTTTTACAATGTAAGCTAAAATTTATGTGATTTAATTGACCTTGAGTGTGATTTTACTTTTTTTAATCTTCAAATTCGTTTATACAAAAGATAGACTATTTCTGAATTTCTGAAATAAAATTTGTATGATTTACAAACAACCTAAAAGGAGATATGTCATCTTTGCAGCGCTCAAAATTTTGTATCTTTTTAGATGAGGAAAAGACAAATGCGATCCGAAACTAAGACACGCCTGACCTCAGTTCAATAGCAGTAACAAAAACATAGGACTATTGTAAGAACAGTCAAGTCTGTTTAGATTTCTATTTATAGAGACTCCATATATACAAATTTACTCTTTTTTATGGAAACTTTAGAATGTTTCGAGCCCCCCCCCCCCCCCCCCGCCCCCAACGTATCATCTTATTTTAGGAAATAGACTAAGAGAGAGCTAAAATTCAATTCATTTATTTGTACGTACTTGTTAGGAAAAGCAGCAGGTGCTTGTGGACAGAAACCCTACTCCACCCTCTTTAATATTTACATGAACTGGTAAAACGGATTTTATTTTTACATGTTTTGTTTCATTATTTCTTCTAGCACATTAATAATGCGTTCAATATAAAATAAAAGTAACGACAGAATTAACATTTTAGTAAAAAAAATCATACCCGGAGCATCATAAAATATTATACCGCCACAGTGATTTTTTAAATAAAACGTTTATTCTAACCTGTGGGTGAAAGAGTATGCTACATAATAAATTTTACAATTCAGGAGTTGACAATTCGCAAATCTACGAATTAATAGTAGTCTTTTACACATTGCAAAGGATAGTTAAACAACTTGTGAAAGTACAATTTGCAAATTAACAAATATACAATATTTGAAATACGAAATTAACAATACACAAATTAATTAAGGTCAAAATCTATTAAATGAAAGGTGCCTACAGATTTTCCAAAATTGAGAAGCGAATCTTTTAATGATCCTTTACAAATGTACAGTAGCTTGGTAAAATAAGGTGTATCGGGATACAATTTTTAGGTAAACTCAATGAAAAAAAACCCATCTTTTAAACAGTCATTTTCAATGAAAAATGAAGAAAGTCAGGTATAATTTTCGGAGTTTTTTCCATCTCAGAGAAAGGAAATGTATCAATATTGCCCACAGTCTCTCAGAAAACGGGTTTTCGTATCTTCTTGACCTCTACCTTAAAATGATATTAAATTGAATATAGCTATCGGGGCAACTTTTGACATGATTTCAAATTAAATTCCATGAAAATGCTTCATTTTCTACATAATTCTATTAAAGCCATAAAGTACGGTAAAAATCAAGTCTAAATAAATTATGACGTCATAATGGATCTAGCTTCAAAATGACAGTCTAAGATCATTTACTAGATCTTGACCTCAAGCTTTTCATATACCTTAAGAAATTACAGAGTTGAACCCTTTAGCTTTCCATAATTTTACATGCGCACCATCTAGCGTTAATTCAGATTATGAAATATGTGGAGATAACGAACAGTATTCGAGTCAAAAGTCCATTAATCATTACAAAATAGGAGCAGAGCATACACGGACCTCTAAGACATCAGAAGTGGGATCAGGTGTCATGGAGGAGTGAGCATCTCCTGTCGACCGGACACACCCGCCGTGTGCTCCTTGTCATAATCTGGAAATAACATGTTTCACAGCTCGAACAGAGGGTTTTTGCTGCTACCAAATCACTTGGTACACTCCAAGCCCAAGCTTCATGGTTGGATGACTATGTCATTGTTTGCATAATTACTAAACCTGTCAATATCAATGATAGGTTACAATCATGGACACAGGGCAAGGTCACCAAGCAATGATCATGAATGTAGCATGGACCTGATGTGAAAATCAATAAAATATACAGAATTAGTAAAAGAAAAAAAAAAGATTTCTTTTATTCCCCTGTCTTTCTTTCTGAATTGATCAATTTTAGCCAAAATTAAAACATTAAATATTAAAAAATAAAAATCAAAATTAAAACAGAAATTTTAGAAAGGTTTAGAAATTGGTTGAATATCTATGATATACCATTTACACTGATGCTTCAATCAGAATTATCTCTCATGCATGGATAAGTGCAAAAACGCTTACTCACCATCTTGTTTTCGATTGCAATTAACAGATTAAAAAGACACAGCAATAGTCAAAATATGATTTTTTTTTTACAAAGTTCAAATACATAGGGACAGTCCTATATTGCTCAAGTAGTGTGTAAACTAAATCCAACCGTATACATATTTTTTTTTTCTGTTTTCGTTTTTCTGTGTAATTCTTTGGTTTTTAAGAACAATTTAAACATTTTACCTCCTAAACAAATCTACACTAATGTCCACAAGATTCCAAAGCTCCTGATTTAAAATCCTTTAAAAATGACACGACTATCTTCACACAGAGATTTTGAATATGCAGAAATGAACCTTATTGTATTTGAAATCTACCCACTGTAGACCGTCACCTGACCAGTTGCAGACAGGTAGATATACCCCTGAAGGTATAATTATCACATTTGGGCATTACAAAATGGCACCAGTCAGGATTAAATCATCATAATCTTGATTAAATACCAAGAAACATACTGAGAGTTGTAATGAAATAGATAGAGACACAAAGGGTTTAATTTCTCGTGTAAAACATGTACTAAGTATGTTGTAAAACTTTCCCCTCGCCATTCGATTTGGTCCCTCGCTTCGCTCGGCACCAAATCTCATGGTACTCGGGAAAAATTTAACAACATATACTTATCATACGTTAATACTGCAAGCACATCATACGTTCACATCAAGGAATTTCCTATTTCAAAAATGTGTTTGTTTTCTTGAATAGCCTGCAGGTAAAAATATAGTCTTTGTTTTATAAGGCTTACAATTGCATTTTAGGGGAACTTGGATTTAATTCTACAATCGGTAATCCAACTTATAGTTCCCTTTCTAAGGAGAAAATTCTTTAAAATCATGTGTCAATTTTAGATATTTTTAATATTTCCAACAACCGAATTGAATTTGAATTACTGTACCTAAACTAGATTCCTAAACTACATAAATTCTTACAAACAAGGATGCATAGTGGGTTTTAGTGAATGTTCTACCAAGCCTCTTTCTTTACTCGTCACTAAAATATTTACAACAGTGAAGGAGAAATTTCAGGAGTACTGTACAACAACATATTTCAGAAGAGGTATTTATGAAATGTGGATACTTAAAAACACCAAAGAACTTTAGGAAAATTTGAAATCACAAAATTTTACTAAAATCAACAGCATCGAAACGGACGACTTTTCAACGCTTTATACAACCATTCCCCGCGATAAATTTAAGATTAGACATTTTGACATCATAGACAACTGCTGTTTTAATGAAAAAAAATGTGTTAATTTGCATACCTTGTCATTAGTCATTTACAAACTTATTTTGTTAAAAACATTCTGATTCTTCATAAAAGAACTCTTGGGCTGATATTTAAAAGATGTTTGAGTTTCAGACTGACAGAATCTATGTGCTTTTCGGAGACCAGGTCTTCCAACAATCTGTTGGAATTCCCATGGTTTTTATTTGTATTCATATAGCAGAATTTATTTAAAAAAACTTCTACATGAAAAGAAGTTATCAATCTGTATGTAACACTGATGGAAGAGCCATGAAATAGTTGACCTTTGACACCTTTTGAAGAAACATTTAATACGGATGAGTTTAAAAATTAAGAATTAACTAGTTTAGTAGTAAGTTGTATTTATTGCTTCATATAAACAGCAATATATTTTTCCTAAGAAATAAAGGGGATGATAATCATTGGATGTGGACATTATCTAATAAGATTACTATGCATTATTGCTTTCCTTTTTAACAAGGGTAAAATAGTCATCTGTAATATCAGTCTTGCTCAATTTATTACAGCTTTGATCCTCAGTTTGTTTTAGTTTGGCATTGTAAACGTTAGAATGTAATTGCTTTGGAATGACTTTGGTAGAGATTAGGTGGTGGTAATTATCGGAACCTCTCGGGCATGATCCTGCAGTCATCCTGTGAAGTGGAGCAACTGAATTCGAACCATCACTAGTTTTCAACATCATTCGGGATTCACGGATATCGTCGTAGTTTTCCTTTCTTATGTCATCTAAAAAAACATCGAGCACAATTAAGATTCTTGAAAATTGATTTTCTTGTATGGATTCAGTTAGCCAGTACAAAGTAAAGAAAATGATAGAAAATAGAGGGTTAGGTGAAGGGTTTCTTTATTTCTGAAAATTAAAAAAAAAAAGAGGATAGGAAACAGAAAAAAAATCTCGAATGTATTGGTATTACCCTGTTGTCTCTGATTAAACAGCGCCCTTATTTTGTCTCCATACCTAAAATTTACAAAATAGATGAAACAGTTGTAGGTATTTCAAGTGACGTTAAACTGCACATTTTTTTTTTAGATTATTAAAGTTTTGATATGGTTGATGTATGTTAAAGAATTACTTTTTCAAGCTCAATGGCATTGATATACACGACTTTCAGATATAAAGATTTTTTTTGAATACTTCACCAATCCGAAAAATGAGCAAAACTTGCTGAACCACTCTCTCTATGGTCTATGGTTTTGATTGTATATATAAGCAAAGTTCTACTATTTATAATTTTGCGGCTGTCGGAATCAAAATATTGTTTTGGGTTGAAGTTATAATGAATTTGTATATGTCAAGTATTTTTCCTGATTGAAATATTCTCATATAATATAAATAGTGTGATCTTAAAAAAAAATAATTATCATCACTTTCAGCAAGGAAAAACATATTATTAAACGTGAAAGTGCTCATGTAATTTAAAGGAAATGACCAGGAAATATTCTTTCTGAAACATTGGCTCGCTTCCTGAGATTTTTTAAGTTAATACGTGAAATGTATGGAGATAACGAACAGTATTCAAGCTCAAAAGTCCATTAAACAATACAAAATAGGAGCAGAGCAAACACGGACCTCCAAACATCGGAGGTGGGATCAGGCGCCATGGAGGAGTGAGCATCCCCTGCCGACAGGTCACACCCGCCGTGTGCTCCTCGTCATGATCGGGAAATAACGGAAAAATCTGTCGAAAATTCAGTGTGTAAATAATGGCCTAACAATTAGTATGAAAAACGTCAGTCAGCATTTGACTTAATGATAAATTGTATTTGCTGACAAGGTCATTGTATCGACCATAGAACTTACGAAATGATGACTTTAAACGAGACAGCTGATATTCTTGTTTCATCAACTTGTTTGTCAATAATTTACCTCGTTTTAGAAATTGTACATACGTAGAGCATGCTCCTGCGTATCGGATCAACTGAGAGATTATATACCCCGTATGCAGGTGATGAAGGTATATTGCTGCATAAGTAAGGGAAGTTGACGATTAAAAAGTTAAAGTCATCACGTTTATCTTAAAGCTTGGTTGTTAGATTACCATTACGTCTTTTTCAAGCAAAATATCCAAATATGAAACAGATGTGTCAGAATCTGTGGTATCTTTTATCTCAAGCTCACCAGGATATATCTTATCGACATAAGAATGGAAAGAGCCATTGTTAATTGACAATACGTCGTCGATATATCTAAATGTCTAGTTGAAGGCCACAGCAAGTGTTTTCTTCTTTTCACGTACAAGATTTTGGACAAATTCTGCTTCATATGAATACAAAAAAGGTCTGCTAATAACGGGGCGCAATTGGTACCCATGGGAATTCCAATAGATTGTTGGAAGACCTGGACTCCAAAAACCACATAGATATTGTCAATCAGAAACTCAAGCATCTTTTTAATGTCAACTTCAGAGTACTTGTGTGTACAATCAGAATATCTATTTTTGTCTATTTCATACATCTATTTTTTCGATTATTTAATTACATGTAAAATGAATATTGGATTTTTTCCTAATCAGGTAATGTCCTACTGGTTTGATAATCAGACTTTAGTCTTTTATTCTATTTTTAAATGGTGTGAACATTTGGACACATATTTAAAAAACAACAACAACCAGAGAACGAAAATCTTTGATTTTTGATAACGAGGATGGTTGATAACAACGATCCATCCTAGAATTTCACTACAAAGACTTACTCCAGACTTACGTTTTATTGACTACAATGACTCCTCCCCAGAAAAGAGATGTCATCACAATTGTGACAAAAACAGCGACTCCATAGAATGACGTGTCGTTCTTTTCTTTGTACTCTATGCGTCATGTAGATATGCAAAAATTAGAGTGAACGTCTTACGTCCAATTTAAATTGATATACTAGTAATTCAACAGTTTTTTTTCTCTTACTCAGTTTGTGAGGATGACATTGAAATAACAATATTAAAATTAGTTCTACGAGGATGGGGCTGGGTTGAAAAGTGAAAAAGTACTATTTACATTATATTCGGGGTTTTAGAGAAAACATATTTTAACTTCTTGAAGGGATCGGAAATTTTTATTCCTTAAGGTACCTCCCAAAAGGACCCCTCGTGACACGAAATTGATTTGGCCATACGAATATTAGTTATAACATGACAATCTATTCGATGTCATTAAAGAAATATAATTTAGTCAATCTAAAAATTTCAAAAAAAAAAAAAAAGAAAGAAGGAAAGAAAAGAAAATGATTCATCTTTAGTATCATAAACCGTACCAAAACAGCCTGTGTGTCGGTCACATCCCTGCCTGTCTGAACAGTTACATCTTTGCTGGCATCCAAAACCAAAGTAACCAAACCGACAGGGTGATGTACAGTTAACTCCATGTCGTCCAATACATGCTGATAACAAAGTTCACGTACATTAAACAGCTAATTAGTGATTGTGTTAACTCTAATTGCCTTTTAGCTACACTATATAGTCTTTATTAATTGGAAATATAATATTGCATTTTCTTAGCTTCCTTGCATGGTAGTTAAAAAATTGTATTATTGAATTATATTGTAAAATTCTCAAATGTGTTAATTTCTGGTAAATTTATGATTATATTTTTATAATTTTAAAAATGTTCATTATTATGTTGGATGAAAAAGGTAGAGAAAACAGTTATCTTTCTCACAAATTCTATAAACGATACGAATCGATCGTGAATAGATCAAAACACTAGAGCACTGAGGAAGCCCTCTGTGTTGATCAGGTAAACGTATAAATTCATAATAAAAATTATTATAAACATACAATATCCCAACAATTGGCCTAAAATATGTAAATCAAAAACGCCACAAGTTGTCAACGACAGGTAATATTTGAGAACAAGATCATTATAACGAGCATAGAATTTGCAAAGTGCTGACTTTCAACGAGATTGCTGAAAGGCCTCTAACATCAACTTATTTGACAGTAGCCATGTCTCGGCTTAAGAATCGATTGTACTCAGCACATGCTATTGCGTACCAAATCTCTGTAAGATTTAAACAACATATGCAGATAATAGTTGAAGATCATAACATAAATAGGGAATGTTTACGATGGGAAAATCGCTTTTGTCGTATATGATAAACAACGTCTAAGTCAGGAAAATATAATCAAATATGAAACATATGTGGCATACTCTGTGTTGTCTATTATTTAAAGTTCACTCGAATAAATATAGTGGACATATGAATGTCAATTAATAAGACGTAGTCAATATATGTATCTGAATGTCGAGTTGAAGACAACAGCACGAGTTTTCTTCTCATGCATGTAGAAGTTTAAAGTATTATTTAGAGAACGAGACGGGTTCTCTATCGTAGATAGATTGGTGGTGGGCGAGTGCGTAGCACGAGTCTCCGCCTCCAAATTTGTATCTACGATAGAGAACCTCTGAATGATTTTGACAAGATCAATCAAAATAAGCACCTCTGCATTTTACCTGTGCAGCATCCGCGGCATATATACATGTATTTCCGTAACGTAAGGTTCAGTCAGATTAGTTTTCACAGCGGGATAGACGCTGTTGTCATGAGCTCTTCCGTTTCTTAACGAATAAAGTGGATGATTTAACCTTCCTGCAGATTTATGACATTATGGAGATTGGTCCTTATATATTTAAGGAGTTTCAAAATCTCAGTTTACCTAGATACAAATACAGGTGATAGAGACATTGAAATTTGACATTAAAAACGAAGTGAAAGAGATGTTCGTCAGTCGTCAGCAATGAGGATTTAAGAAGAGTTCACACAAAAATGGACTCGAATGAGTTTTCACAAAAAGAGTTGAAAGGGGTGGGGATGGGGGGGGGGATCAAATTTCACTTAATGGATGCTGTAACCAAGAACCATTGCCTTTACCATAATGAAGGGGACTCAAAACAACCTATGCAGGGAAAGCAAACAGGTTTTGAGGAATTTATCCAACACAGCAGTTTCCCATAACTTTTTTCCTTTTCGTTTGGATCGAAGTAACTTGTAGATTCTGTGTGGAATAAGTTTTTAAAAGTGATTGTCAATGAGAAAACTTGACATTTTACATTCTTAAGGAAATATTAATCTAAAGTTCATAATAGGAAAAAATAAGCATTTACTATTTGTACGTGCTTTTGATATATTGAATCAGATTTATTCTTAGACCATGCTGTATTTTAGATACAGAATTGCTGGCTAATATTATTCAAAAGGTAAAGATACTGAACAGTGATCGATCTTAAAAAATCCATCAACAATACAAATATGTGAAGAGGGCATAAAACACGGACCCCTAGAAATTCCAGAGGTGGGATCAGGTGTCTAAGAGGAGTAAACATCCCCTGTTGACCGGTCACACCAGCCGTGAGCCCTTTGTATTGATCACGTAGACGAAACTATCCGTAGCCATTTCAGTACAAAAACAAAGGCCTAACCATTTGTATGAAACAGGACGGCCAAAACACGACCAAATAATGGGTTATCTTTGCTAACAAGGTCATTAAAACGACCATAAAATTTACGAAATGCTGGCTTTAAACGAGGCTGTTGAAATCCCTGTAACATCGACTCATCAATGAGTAGCCAGCCTCGTTTTGAAAATTGATCGTATTCAGAGCAAGCTCTTGAGTAGCAAATAAGTTGGTAATATAAACACCATAGGCAGGTGATAGTGGAATATTACTACATAAATAGAAAAGTTGACGATGGAAAAGCTAAAGTCATCTAGTTTGTCATACAATTTAGTTGTTAATTGGCCTTTATCGTCTATAGTCAGTAAAACATCTAAATATGAAACAGATATGGCAGCCTCTGTGGTGTCTTTTATTTCAAGTTCACTGGGATATATCGAGTCGACATACAGTATATATAGAGCTAGCTAATTAGTAATACAGAGCAGAAAATAGTTCCGCCTATTGTAGTTCCGTTATGTATTACTAATACAGAACAGCAAACTGCAAAGAAAAACACCGCCATCGTGTCACAAGTGCTTAAAATAATTCTGTTTCGGAAGAATATAAAAACAATTTGGCTAATAAAGGGGAAAAAATAGATTGCTGGAAGACATGGTCCCAAAAAGCTACATCGATACTGTCAGTGAGAAACTCCAGAATCTTTTTTAATACATGTAACAGCTTCAGAGTAATACTGTGTAGAATCAGAATGATTCTAAACAAAGTAATTTGTAAACGACCAATTACAAGATTTCCGAGTTCCAGTTTTATTGAAGAAACAGTTATCGATGTTGTTAGAATTATCGATATTCATGCTGACTGCCATCTTCGCTAGCCAAGGATTACTGATCCGCTACTCTCCTCACAAACCCTGGCCTACAGTGTTAAAAAAAAATTGGGATTTTTTCTCGAGTTGTGATTGGAGTTGATTGATATCGTTCGACCAATCAGCAATTGCTTTATGTAAATGACGATATCTGACTTCGGGATCTATCTTGACTCTTTTGTATCGGGAATGAAAAACACAAGTAAACAACGATCCGTAGGATAAATAGCTATGGTGTCATCCAATCTTAAGTTGATGCGCAAATAATTTGATCAGAAATCTATATTGCAGATGTAGATTTGCACCCTAAATAATAAATTATTCTCTAAAACTTTAATTTTTAAATTTGCATTTTATTTCTGTCGATGACGCAATCTGTGCGTATGTTGTAAGATTCGAGATCACGTGACGTAAACAGTCCCGACTTTTGACAGCACCATAGGCCAAGGGTTTGTGAAATATGAAGATAACGAACAGTATTCAATCTCGAAAGTCCAATGAAACGATACAAATTTGAAACAGAGCAAACACGGACCTCAAAATTTAGAGGTGGGATCAGGTGCAATGGAGGAGTGAGCATCCCCTGCCGACCGGTCACACCCGCCGTGTGCTCCTTGTCATGATCGGGTAATAACGGAGAAGTCCGTAACAGTTCAGTGTATAAGATAATGGCCTAACAATTAGTATGAAAAACGTCAGTCAGCATTTGACTCAATGATAGGTTGTGTGTGCTATAAAGGTCATTGTATCGACCGTAAAACTTGCAAAAAGATGACTTCAAACGAGACTGTTGATATCCTTGTTTCATCAACTTCTTTGTCGATAGCTTGCCTCGTTTTAGAAATTGTTCATACGTAGAGCATGCTCTTGCGTATCGAATCAACTGAGAGACATAAACCCTATATGCAGGTGATAAGGAGAGTTGCGGTTCAGAAACCCTGGCTAGCGAAGATGGCTGACTGCAAATGTAATGCTCAAAATTGATTTTTAAGCCTGGTCCATAAAATGTCCGATAAAATTTTACTTGATTATCTTTTTATTTTAATTTTATGGATTACACATAACTTAAAATAGTCAAATGATTTAGTTTTATCTTCAAATATAAAATTACTGGTCAACTTACGCTTGCAGGCACCGTTGATCAACTGAAAATCCACACAGCACTCCAATATCATCTTCTGATTTACCCATCTGAAAACAGGCTTAGAGATACTTAAAAGAACTGAAATATTATTGCATTGTATACTGTAATACTTTATTCATGACGAAACAAAACTTACGAAACGTCGCATACTCCAGAACGGTCTTGAACTTGAGCAGTCGTATACACAAATAAACTTGCAGATATGATATGTAAAGACATATTTTCTATAACAGCTTGTGATTATCAAAATAAATGCGGCATTTCCTGTTCGCAGTTTCGAGTCAAACATTTAATTTTGTAGCTGTCATCATTTCCTTTTGTGTATATAACAAGATGGTTCAAATGCTGTAATTGTAAGCACTCCGCAATCCGATACAAGTGACCCAATCTCCAGCTAGAATTAATTATTGTCTAGAAATAGATAAATGTTTGTCATTGATTCTGAACTTTCATAATAAGTCAATGTACCTCCTTTTTAAGTCTCACTTTAAGATATTAAACAATATACATGTATTCTATATTGTTACTGCAAGATCAATGTTACGAGCTTACAATACATGCATAGTTTAACAGTAAATAAGACATTAATTCACATTTTCTCAGAACAATGCTCCGTGATTGGATACAAATAGTTTTTAATTGTCTGGAACCCCTTCAAATTTGCCACTTGTTAGTTTCCATGCGCATATCGGTTATTTTGGCGCCATAATATTTATACTCCAAAATAAGGTAAGATACATGTAGTTGATTCTACGGAATCACCGTGTCATTCGGTCACTCCCTTTATTCTCAGAACAACCCAAGATTTGTTGTCAACCAAACCCATATTTTAAAAACCATTTCATAAATTATCAAATCAATTCCATGGTACCCATTGCTTGTTACAAACCTCTGTAGAGAAACATCACCGTTCTTGTTTTTGTGAATAAAATGACATCGATAGATATGCATATTTTAACTATTGATCAAATTGATTAACTCTATGACAATTTTATTTTTTCAACAAATATTCCAAAAACTTGCCGAGTATACTATAACAGTTAAAAAAAATGATTAAGTTTTTATAAAAGCGTTGACATGCATTTTGTTGCAACTTGTGAAGTTACTCTTTTGTGGTTCCGGTCATCAGGGAATGGTTACTCCTCCTAGGCACCTGATCCCACCTCAGGAATCTCCGATGATACGTGTTTTAGTCCCTGTTATTATACCTGTATTGTTTATAGATTTTTTTTTTTTTAGATCGATACAGTTCTTTATCCTCACCTTTTTCATTATGGCACACTGTCAGGTCATTGGTTCAACATGACTTCATCCCAGCTGGCAAAGTAGGCAACTACATTGTCTTGGTTTGTAGGGCTCATTGTTATAATCGTATTTTAGAGGAGCTTGGATTTAATTCTACAAGACAGTGGTGATCCAACTTATACTCATAGTTTCCTTTCTTAGTAAGAAATTCTTCAAAATCATATTGACAGTTTTAAATATTTTTAATATTCTCCAAAATCAATGTAAATTCGAATAACCTTACCTATATTGGAATCCTAAACTTCCTAAAATTCCTGATAAAAAAGATACATACAGGGTTCTAGTGAATGTTTTACTAAACCTCTTCTTTTTTTTTTTTACGCCTAATGAAATATTTAAGGAGAAACGACAGGAATACTATAAAACATATTTGAGAAGTGGTGCTAATTAGATGTGGATACTTAAAAACTCCAAAGAACTTTAAAAAAAATTAAAATAACAAGATTTTTAACAATAGCTTCAAAACCGACGGCTTTTCAACACTTTAACAACCAAACCCATAGATAAGTTAAAGACCACAAGCCTTTTGACGTAATAGACAGCTACTTTTTCCAATAAAAATGGAACTCTTTAACTTGTGTATCTTGTTATTGGTTACCTGCAAACTTATTTTTTAAAAACATTCTGATTCTACACTCAAGTACTCCGAGGTTTATAATAGAAAGATGTTTGTATTATTGACTGTGTTATACTGTTAAGTTATTAGTTGGCCCTTGTCGTCTATAGTCAGTAAACATCCAAATATGAAACAGATGTGGCAGACTCTGTAGTGTCTTTTACTTCGAGTTCAATGGAATATATCAAGTCGACATATGAATGGAAGTAACTATTGCTAATTGATATATCTGAATGTCAACTTGAAGGCCACAGCAAGTGTTTTCTTCTTCTCATGTTGAAGTTTTGGAATAAATTCTGCTTCAAAGGACTATAAAAATAGTTCGGTAAATAAAAGAGCACAATTAGTGCTCATCGAAATTCCAACAGATTGTTGGAAAAGACTACATAGATGTTATCAACGAGGAACTCCAGCATCCTTTTAATATCAACTTCAAAGTGCTTTTGTGTAGAATCAGAGTGATTTTTAACAAAAAAATATTTGCTAATGACCAATTACGATACAAAATTTTACGAGTTCCATCTTTTATTGAAGAAGCAGTTGTCTATGATATCAAAAAGCCTAATTTTTAATTCATCGTGAGGAATGGTAGTATGAAGTGTAGAAAAGTCATATTTTTTTATGTTACGTATGTATTAACCTAAAAAATGTTATTTTAAGGACAGATGATGCAAACACATTTCTCTACCTCTAGCACTGAAGAGTTCCCATGGTAAAAATATGTTAGATGGTTTTAAATTTTTCATTTATAGTTATTTGGAACTCTTCTGTAGATTTTGAAAGGAGGTCGATAATCAATATAAACAATTATGGAAAAAAGTTCATTGAAAAACCAATCGTCATTAGTTATTTTCTACCTTATATCTGTCTAAATTTTTCAAATTTGCATTTTGAACCTAAAATTTAATGTTTGCAACTTTTTAATTAACCTCCAAAGTTGGCTATACTGCATTATCTCCGATAAATATTTTTGCAAGAATTCCGGCCTAGAAGTCCTGCAGGACAGGCTTGCCCGTAAATAAAATTAAAATATTTTGATAAGTTGTGATCTAAGAAATAATTTAAGACATGATTTTTTGGGGGTACCCCTGCCCTAGGGACGAAATTCACAAAAAGAAACTACAAAAAAAAAGGAAACCTGTTTTTGACAACCTGGTTCATATTTATACCATCGAGTAGCAAAGCCAGAATTTAGCTCGATTGGTATAACCACTGACTATTTACACAGCAAATACACTTTTTAAGAGTCGTGGTTTGAATCCACCTGGTGCCACACTATTATAGTTTTCAACTTCTCGTCTTTTGAGACCATTTTATTTTTTTAATAGGGACTTTTGTGTATATTTTTCAATTATCTTTCTCTATGCATTTTCATTCTTTATACAAAAGACACTAAAGAGAAAGCAAATCGTGAGTTCCATTGTAAGTAAAACACAGTCAAGCGGAACTATAACTCAGCTGTAAGCACACTTTCTTCGAGGACAAACCGTCACGGTAGCTTAGTCGGTAGAGCGCCCGCTCTGTGATCTGAAGGTCGTGTGTTCCAATCACGGCCGCGACTGACTTAAGTCGATAAAAAATAGGTAGCAACTGTTCCTTCTCCGAGCGCTCGGCACTTTGAAGTGAAATTTGCGGGTCATTCGAATGAAGCCTTAAAAACCGAGGCCCCGTTTCACGGTAGGCGTTGGCACTATAAAGAACCCTCACTGCTCAATGGCCCTGAGTGCAGAGTAAAGGTCTAAATTTGAAGCCCTTCACCGGTATATGGTGACGTCTCTATATGAGTGAAAAATTCTCGAACAACATACAAACAATCAATCAACCAATCTTCGAGGACAAGAAGTATTCATATTCACTCTTTGTTACTCGATACAGGTATTCTCGTTTGCAATGAGCTGCGATGGAATTCTATTGAATATATTAGTCTAAGAATTTAATCAATTCAGTGCATTAATTAGTGCTTTTAATCTGTCTGTATTACTAGTACTTGTCGGGGTTATTGCGCTGGAAAGTATACGTAATGTTTATATTATTTGAGCTTAATATATTTACAATTTAAATTTAATACATTTACTTTTGAATATTCAATGTTCTAAATTCAAATCTCAAGTTTTGAAATTCTATTAGGAATAAATATCAGTAACTGCACTCCCTTGGGTTTCATTTATACAAAATTGTATACATTAATGGCATGTTTTTATGATATCCACAAAAATGTGTTGTAAAAGAAACGGAAATTAAGAAAAGAATTCAGACTATAGACATTACCATTATGTACCATGAAAAGTAAAGAAAAATATAAAATAATATTTCGAGATAACAAACTCAAAATGCCTTGACAAAACATGCTTCATAATTAATATTTATGAAAAGGTTCCTCCTAAATGTATCTCTATATAATGAAATAAAATGATATATGAGAAACGAATTAGTACATGCATGTAGCCTAAAGCCATTGACCGCAACGGAAATCGACAAACTTTTTTTAAAGACTAAAACCAATCCCGTCCCTATAGGCCAGTTCCCCATTTAAAGAGAAGTGTTTCTTTACGGTACTGCGAGGATGAAAAACGGTACGGACTTGGTTCCCTATTATACATAAGTGTCAGCAGGAAGCCTCTAGCCATCTTTCTTCTGTCTTACCTGGAAAACGGCGTGAAAATATAACGATCCTGCACGGGAAATTAACTTCATTTGAATTGTAATTTCATTGTAACTTTCAGATTACATACTGCTAAGAGGGAAGATCAGTACGTCTGCTACCAGTGTAACAGGACTAGCTGTCAAGGATGGCACTCTCTGTCGTAAGGGCACTGAAGTTGTAACTGTAGATTCTCAGACTGGTCTCAAAACATTTTTGTCTTGGTTAAAAACATTCAGTAATCCAGTTTTAGTTGCACACAACTGTAAAGTCTTTGATTCTATGGTTTTACTCCTAAAAAAAACTGTGTAAATTTTATTGGAGTTTGTTACACTCCCATTTTTTTCAAAGAATGTTTCCCAGGCAAAAAATCTTATACGAGCAGTGTGACTTGGCAAAAGATATTTTGAACGAAATGTATGATGCTTATGATGCTGTGTCTGATGTAAACATGCTTCAAAAACTTGTACTCAGTGTCAATAATTTGTAATGTCTTTCTTTGTACACATTTTCTGTTGACTATTGTTTTGATGAAATTCCTTTTAATTCCAGAAGTAAGTAGAATATAACCTCTTTACAGAATTTTTGTAATTTAGGAATTTTGACAGCAACATGAGGGAAAAAAATGTAGAGGTAAGGATGGACATTAACATTATTAACTGACTGTCACTTATTATTGCTATTATTTTTTTAATCATTATATATAACTATATTGAAACACTGTAGAGATTTGTAGAAAGTTTTGTCAACATAAGATTGACTTAGCGAAGACACCGCGCTAAGTTCGTTTTGTAATAGGGCATACTTAGGCAGTACACAGGCAGATCTTAAAGGACTTATTGCATGTTTCTAAATTATTTGAAATTAAAAGCATAAAACGTTCCTTATGACCACAGTTTAAAATTTTGTGTTTTTACTGCAGATAAATCGCGGTAGTTAATCAATTATTAACTCAAATGAAAACCCCTGATTTAAAAATCCAAGTTAATTAGATAGCGATCACGTGACCCTGTGACGTCAAAGGCGACAATGGCTGATCAGCTCCACGTTAATCTTACGAAAATATACGCGATACAACCTGAATTTTCTGCGTTGTGGATGACCAAATCGCTTATTTTATCGATATGAAATTGAATATCCAACCTTATATGTTAGAATTGCAGCAAGAAAAATCTGTTTACATTGTATTTAAATAGCATCGACGATAGCGAGGGAGACGCGGCGAAGACGAAGAAACTCGCCATCAGAATACGATTTGATTTGTCATCTTATCACACGTATTTACTTATTTGATTCACAAATTTAACACTATATAACTTTGTTGTTCTTTATTTTTAACATAATATTAATTTATGCAAGTCTTCATATGTTTTTTTAAAGGATGGCGATCTTGAAAAATAATTTCCCGATCACGAAACATTGCCGTATTCAAAGCTACAGTTTCTAAATGTTTGGAATAAAAAAACGAAAATTTCTCAGAAGCCTTATACCATAGAACTAGTTAATGTTTCTATAGTAATTGAGAAGCACGTTAGGCATTAATTTTTTCAGCATTTTTCGTAATTGAGCTGCATTTGTTGTTGATAACTCCGTAATTAGTGTGCATATTCTCATCTCTCTATCACTGAATTGTCGCCTATGACGTCAGAGCAGTATTTCGCCGAAATCCGACTGAAATATGCATATTGCCATATTTGAATTTCAACTCCTAATATCTCTTAAAATATGCTTTCAACAACGTTTATTCTATTCAGTATTTTAATAAACAAGGTTGTAGATAATATTTTTCATAAAATTACGATTTTTGAAAGATCATGCGATAAGTCCTTTAAGACTGCGTCTAAATCCTTCAGGAAGCTATTAACACTGCTCACTAAATCCATGGTAGTTTAATTTATGCAGTTAGAGTGATCTGTCCTTCGAAATACAATAAATGAAGACACAATTTAAAATAGATTGAAGTATTCTTCAGCACTTCAGAATTGAAGTATTCAAGTATAAGGCTTAGCTATATGGATCTCGCTGACAGGCATCAGATCATGCTCGACGCTTCGCCTCTCGTTTGATCAATCGACGTGATATATATGCCTCTTTGGATCAAGTTACTGTTTTAATATATATGTACATATATATTTATATCTAGATAGTTATGGTTTTTGACGAGCGAACGGAAAGACATACAATCATACTTAAACGAATATGTCATTCTCTTCCCGTCGGAGAAATATTTTCTGTAGGGAAAATGATGGCAAAATCTTAGTTTTATTTAAATGAGTCCCTCGTGGGTTTCATTATTTCTTTGTTGATAACTAAAACGAAAGTAAAACGTTAGCTTTTTCATCGAACAGAGCAGAGAGAAAAAGGTCATTTACATGAAGTAAAACAATATGATAGATTGATAGATGACATCTGTTAGATAGGCCTAAACATGTAAGTAATCTGTGTAGATGATGATGGGAGAAAAGGTAACTGAGTAATGTTAATAATATTAAATAGTCAATTTTAAAAAAAAGTACAGTCGATACTCGTGACCGACCGTGACGGTCAAAACATGTTGTACAAACTTCCTCCATTCATCCAACTAAGAACAACAAAACAATAAAACAGTACATGTAAATAACAGGCTTATCAACTGAAGGGAGATAAATGATTTAAGTAATAAAGTACAGCATTGACTTGCTTGTAAAAGTTGTCATAAACAACAGTTCTATTTCTCATGGTCCAGTCAATTTACTTATTTAGCAAATATGTGGGTCCAACGTCAAACTAATTGCAACACAAATTATTTTGTTATAAATTAAATCTAACATATACAAAATATTTGTGGTAAGAAATCCAAGACAATCTGATGAGCTATGGGAATTAATATAGAAAAGGGGCATAAATCAACCAATGATTTGCTGAAGTAATCGAAAGAAAATTCCGGGTTTTTGTTGTTGTTGTTGTTTTTTTTTTTTTGTTTGTTTTTGTTTTTGAAAGCACAGAGTTGTCCCTCAGAATTAAAATAGCTGAGGACATTAAAAATAGAAGGGGGTATGGGGTTCCTCCCTTAACAAGGGTATGAGGTGGAATACCAGAGTAACAGGGGGATTAATGAAATGTCATTACAAGCTGGATTTCCCCAGCCCCGGGTCTTAGGGACAACCCTGAAGCATAACCTTATTTTAACTTTTTTTAATTGACACAGTTCATTATTTCAAATAGATGATATAATTTTGAAATGGATATTTTGAATTTAATTTCATACTTTTTGTTAATTTGCAAATATTAACATTTTTAATAGACAGTGAATACAGACTTTAAAAAAAAAAGAATAAAAATAAATAAATTCCCCTTAGATTAAGATTTAGTATGCATAGATCATTTCATTTAGTACATAAATACTAAATATAATTTTGAAAACATATCCTTAGAGATTTAGAGACAAAATCTGACCTATGTTTTGATAGCCTCTACCCTAAATTTTATCATTATGAGGCAAGGAAATGCAATATACACTCTGAAGTGAGCCTAAACATTTGTAAAAAATAATTCTTAGGTTTGAAAGTTTTACTGGAACCTGTAAATGTCATAATACACAGTTTAACTCACTCCTCTTTTCACCAAGATAGAAAAATGCACTAACACTTTAACCAAAATAAGATTTTGAAGAATTATCCCCCTTAATTTCCTATAGTAATTTTCATAGAAAATTAATAACTGGGTGAGTTAGCCAAATAAGTATTTCCCCTTATCCAATTTTGTTAGAATTTTTATTACAATTATTTTGTGCATTCTAGAGTTGATATATAACAAAAGAAATTGCATTGCAATTAGTTTGATGGTAAATTGACTGAACTAGTATTTTATTCACTGTGAAAAAAACAAATCATTGTATGGGAAACAACTTTTGCTCTATACTCATTGTATTCTTAAAGTTTTTTGACTTGCCAAGATAGCTGAGCGGTTTAGCCGTAGATCGAGAGTTCAACTCCAGGTTGAGGCAGAAGTGATATCCTTATAAAGTGAATTTCTTTGTGCTTTCTGTATTAATATTCCTTCACTTAGGGCAGTTATGTTATTTTAAGAGTTACTGTAAATTAATATGCTTTAAAAATAAAATTAACTTTTAATTAATGCAAAATACTTCAATGCAATAAGTATGAATAACGATATATATATAATTATTTTAGACGTTTTTTTCAGCAAAGCAACAAGCCTTCAGCCCTTTGCCTAGTGTAATATCCATTAGTAGCAAAAATATATAAAATGAACTTAATTAATATTCTACATAATTGCTTAAAAAGAATTTGAGATGCTCTCCTTTCATTTAATTCTGCATAAAGGGCCTCTGATAATAGTAGGCGGTTTCTTGTTCGTTCTCCATTACATCTCTGACAATGCTAGGATCATCATTTTTTTTCAATTGATGCAACAGAGAGAGAGAGAGAGAGAGAGAGAGTTTATAAAATTTTGAAAAAAGTCATTGTGCAATAAAACCAGAAGTCCCTTTTGAGAGATAACTCTACTGGTTTTTACTTAACAAATGTAAACAAAGGTAGCAACAAATAAAATAAGAATCCTTGGTTAAGTGTCTTTTTTTGTGATTGCAAGTGGTCAAAAACTGTTGTAAGAAAAGCTTTTTGAAAGAATTTAACAGAAATTTCCAGTTTTAGTAACCATGATTCATAGCAACACCTCTTGGTAAAGATCAAAAACCAATTAAGATGATTATGTACTTTAGTAACGTTTACTTGTAACCAATTTTTATTGAAATCAGACCAATGCTGTAGGAGGAGAAGCGGTTTGAAAGAATTTCACAGAAATTACTATTTTTAGTAACCAAGGCAACATCGTTCATCAAAATCAACCCCCCCCCCCCAAAAAAAAAAAAAAATATGCGTCTTAGTGTAGACAGACTACTTGTGTGCCACGTTATATTGAAATCAGATCATAGGCAACATCGTTCATCAAAATCAACCCCCCCCCCACCCACCCCCCCCCCCCAAAAAAAATATGTATCTTAGTGTAGACAGACTACTTGTGTGCCACATTATATTGAAATCAGTTCAAAACTGTAGGAGGAGTAGCATTTTAAAAAAAAATTTTTTCAGACGAACAGACTAACGGCTAAACAGACAGACAGAACAGACCGACAATTGACACTTTAGTAATCTACTTGTGTTCTCAGTTATATTGAAATGAGACCAAATCTGTAGGAGAATAAGTGTTTGAAAGAATTTCAAAGATACATATTGTATTTCTATTTCTAGTAAACAATAACAATGGCAACAATGGTTTGTCGAAATCAAAAACCGAGTAACCGACACACAAAATTATTTTCCCAGTAAAGTGTATTCTACCAAGTATTATTGAAATTGGCTCAAACTGTAGGAAGAGTAGCGTTTTGATTTTTTTTTACGGAGAGACAGACGGACGGACGACGGAGACCTTACTATCGCATAAACTTCTCTGGTCTCTGAACAGTAGAGCTAAAAAATATTAAAGAGAAATGTATTGCAAATTCCCTTAATCTTTACATTTTAATTTCTAGATTGAAATCATCATCTTGACCATGACACACTTCACTTCCTACAATGGAAATACATAATGGCTACTACATTAAACCGAACAGAGCGGGAACGGCTGCTGAATTGTGGGATATGTGACCGTAGATTGACAGAACCACGCCTGTTAGACTGTCTTCACTCATTTTGTACAGAATGCCTCGTTATCAAACAAGAACAGACATCCAGCAAAGACGTTGTCGTTTGCGAGCTTTGTGGGAATCATACAAGTCTATTAAACCAGTCGATTGATTCCCTGACTCCGAATACATTCATCATAAACATCGGAAAAGTGGACGAAATTCTTCATTCTAACCGTCACTTCTGCTGTTCATTCTGTGAGGAGCATGGGAAGTCTGAAGAAGCGAGTTCTCTCTGTTTGACTTGCGGTGATTGGTTGTGTCTCACGTGTTCAGAACGTCATTGCGGGACCCGGATAACAAGAAATCATAAAGTAGTTAGCATCAATGATGTCAGAGAAGACCCCAAATATTCGTCTGAACTACGTAAGCTTCATGAAACTAAATGTGCCCAACATGACGAAAAAATTATAGAATTCTGTTTACAGTGCAGAACTCCAGTTTGTTTTGAGTGCTTTCAGACAACGCACAAGCAACACGAATCAGTGCCGCTCAAAGATTCTGCTTCAAAGGTGCAAGAAAATCTCTCGAATCTTTTACAGATGTTCGAGAGTATAGTGGAAGTTGATGAAGAATTTGAGAAGCAAATTGCCAAACGACTCCAAGAGGTGAAAAATAAAGAAAGGAGTTTGCTGCAGCTCGTTGAGGAAACCCGAGATCGACTCATTCAAGAAATACAGCAACAGGCCACTGCAGCCGAGTTGGCATTGTCTCACCCGTTTGAGGTTGTAAAATTGTCATTATCAGAGGTATTAAAATCCGTACACAAGCGCTCAGAAAGTACACAGAGATCACGACTATTCTGCGAAATCCTTCTACACCAGGGCTTAGCGGAAGAATCCGTTCATTTTAGAGAATTACTTCAAAGGGTCAAAAGCGCTGGTTGTAGAAGAGAAAAAATGGAGTTTCCATCAATTCCTGTTTTGAAACTTGACATATCTGATTTTCTCATTCCAAAAATATTTGCTGTTCAAGAAGAAAATAAAAAGGACAATAGCCAGCAAACGGATGAAATTGGAAATCAAAAAACCGCTCGACTTGTTGGTGAAAAGGATATACTAATTCCAATTGGCGGTTTTCCTGATAGAAGTATATCAAAAACGAGAGAAAATATTGAAAGTCCAATACCTAATGCAGATGAAAATGCAGAAAAACAAACTGAGGAAAAAATTGAGAAAAAGACTCCTGTAGAAGAAGGTGCATCTGGATTTGATTTCATGTTATATGATTCAGATTCTGATGAAGAGATTACAGATGACGATGATGATAAGGATGAGTCGAAAATTAATGTTTTATTACCAACAGAACCAGTAAAGGCTGAGAAAAAAGCGGAGCCGTCTGGTGACGACATAATTCGAACCATAAAGGTCAAGGATTACTCTTACGTACCTTTAAGTATTGGATCCGATAAAGCCCCAACCGTCGTTCACGATATTTGTTGGCTGACAGATTCGGCTTTTGCTGTTGGGGACCAAGCAAACCACAGGATTAAGGTATTTGATGATAAAGGATTATGTCTCTGGTTCAAAGATTTACAGGAAGGGTCAATCGAGAGGATCGCATGCATTGACGGCGTGATTGCATCTGACTACTCATCTGGCGTTCACTTAGAGACCAGATACGAATCATTTACAAAGATATATTGCTATACACCTACCCGCACTCATCCATACCCCATAGTGAAAACAAGCAGAAAGGATGTGGTTATAGGAAATAGGGATTTTACTGACCTCAGATGCTATAGTACGAAAGGGAAAAGAATTCGGTACATTCCCATTGGTAGAAAGGTGGATATAAATTACATTGCTCAGAACAAAATGCAAGATTTTATTTGGACTGAAAAACGATCAAATTCTGTCACTAGATTTCACGAGGGACAAAAAATGAGCGTTCTATATAAAGGACTTCCTCACTGGAAGCCAGAGGGCGTGGCTACGGATTCCGATGATAATGTTTATGTGTCGGACCGCACCGGTGGCAGTATTGTCAAGCTGTCTCCTCGAGGGGATCTCTTAGGGATCCTAGAAGTCCATCCCCCAGGACCTCGGGGTCTGTCTATTTCCAGCCGGAATCAATTAGTTGTCAGTGACGATGAAGGAAATGCGTGGATAATGTGGCTATAAATATCTTTATAGGATATAAGTGATTAAAATCTGAATTGATTAATTTTTAAAATGGATATATAAAGAGATCTTTATTTTTTATTTGATCTGTTCGTGCACCAATAATTAAAAAGACTGATTCAAAATTGGAAATGTCTTTAATAAATATTAATGCTACTGAGTGTGAATGGTTAATTTTTTACAATTATAAGTCTATTCTGAAAGGCTGATATTATACAGGGAATCTAGAACTCCCTGCTATAGGGGTGTATTGATGTTGTTTTCTCTCTCGATGTTCTTTCAGATGTTGGTAATCCGGAATTTCTTCGTATCTGCTTTTCGGCTCTTCGTATGAATGTCTGACTTCCTGAACATTTCCTTCTGGTCTAGAGGCGGCGTTCTCTCGTGCCTGATGTAGTGGGTTATATTCATGACTTTCATCAGCAACTTCTGTCATTTGGTATCGGTCCGATTTTGTCCCCCTCTTTTCCCCAGGAAGATGACGTAATGACGTCACTGATTTATCTTGGGCAGAGGTGGGAGTAAGATATTGTTCCTGCAGAGGTCTAGCGTCCTTTCCTATAAGTCTATCATCAACGCTACTCTGTGTTTTGAATTTCTTCTCTGCAAGGTGCGGTGAAAATATATTCAAACTATTTTAAAACAAAAACATTTGAATACATCTGATCAATATTTCAATCATAGTTACCGTAAAACAATTTTGATCTCCTGGTAAGAGCACCTGCCACGGTTAAGCATATAATTCCAAATGACACCCCTATCGCCCCTATGATCTCTCCTTGGTAGGATTCTGTGCACTTACAATCAGTCGTCTCAGAGAACAGGTCTTTGTAGGATATAAATCAATGCAATTCGTCAATATTTTAATACTTTTAAGGCTAGTGTTTTTCTGTGATCAATGTTGTATTCTACTTACCAACACAGCCGATCTTGACATCACACCGCTGAGTTTCGGTGCAGTTGCACCTATATCGACATCCGAAGCCGTAGTGACCACACTCACATCGCTGCTGGCAGTCTTTACCATATCGACCTATACATGCTGTAAAAATTTACATATCAATATATAAAACGGTATTAATCTATACATGCTGTAAAAGTTAAATATCAATATATAAAACCATATCGATCTAAATTAAACATGCTGTAAATAGTTACTCATCAATTTATAAAACCATAAGACCAAGTCAACAAGATTGAAATATACAGCAACTTTTCTTTAACCTTGTTATGGTAATTTTAATGTTTGAATTTAAAAGAATTGATTTAACATGATACAAATTATAAAAACTGTGTCAAAACTTAGACACGCCAATATAATAACCACATCGATCTATGCAATGCGAACGAAAAACTCTGGTCAATATTATTAAATTCAATGCGAAAAAACCCTTATAATTGGAATGGATACTTGATTAATAATTATTTACATCATGTTTTTCAAAACTGTTTTAAAATATGAGGAAGTTGTCTGAAGAGTTGAGAAATACTTTTTCAATAGGAATAACTTGTGAGAACACAAAAAAACTTTGTTCAAAACATTTTCATTAAAACTTGTTGTGGATATTTAAATATCAATGATTTTATTTAATTATGAAGTCCAAGACAGTGGCTTCATTATCTGTACCTCTAAAACGTACTTTTTAGCTCACCTGAGCCGAAGGCTCAATTGAGATATTCTGATCAAAATTTACCGTTGTCTGTCTTTGTTGTTGCTGTTGTTGTAAACTTTTTACAATTTCATCTTCTTCTCCAGAACCATTGGGACAATTTCAACAAAACTTGGCACAGAGTATCTTGGTAAAGGGGATTAAAGTTTGTTCAAATGAAGGGCCACACCCTCTTCCAAGGGGAGATAATTAATAAAAATTATGAATTGGCTGGGGTCATTTAAAAATCTTTTTCTCCAGAACCCCTGGGCCAGAAAAGATGAAACTTGTGTGAAAGCTTCCTGACAGAGTGTTGATTAAACTTAATTCAAATCATAACCCCCGGGGCTAGGGTAGGGCCACAATGAGCGAACAAAGTTTTACATAGGAAGATACAGGAACTCTTCTTCTCCAGAACAACAAGGCCATGATTGTCATATTTATATGGAAGCATCCTCAGCTAGTGTAGATTCAAGTTTGTTCAAATCATGACCCCTGGGGGTCACAAGGGGCCACAATGGGCGATCAAAGCTTTCAATAGGTATACCTATAAGATGGACCTGGCACAGACGCTCTTTTTTCAGACAGTGTTATTGAATAATGAACTAGGGTACTGTTTGAAACAAATGATTTTGCACCTTGGTCTGGTATAAACCACAGCAAGCAATCTACAGCACTACAGAGTTACACAATCATGTAGATTAGGATAAACCTGATATAGATTTTTTAATCAGTCTGTAAGTCAATCATTTTGTTCTAAAATAGATACATAATGGAAGGGTGGGCCTGGAAAAAAGTGGGGTGGGTCTTGACTTCTATCCTTCTCCTAGCTCCAATTCCGTCATCTATACTATTTTGAATTTCCTTTTTCTTCCTCTGTCCGAGTCCAACCTTTCCTATTTTTTACTCTCCAAACTCTTACCCCTCACATTCAGCCCGTCATCACCAATCAAAACACTTATTTTGTAAATGTACATGTATTTACAAAGAGGTACATCTCTCTCTAGAATATAATATTTATATATTATAATGTACACTTGACATGCACAGTTGGTTGCACATCTGTTTAGATAGTTCAATAGTTTGCAAATAGTAAATGAGTTGTGTCCCTTTGTGGGATTTTTTTCTTCCCATTTAGTACAATCCACTAAATAATTGTGCATCCTGTACTTTTAACCAAAAGGTCAAGACATAAATAGTGAAATGAATAATATTTTCTTTGAACTTATGTCCACCATGGAAGGCATTGTGGTGTTCTGAGATAAATTCACGGTGTTTTAAAAATTATTTTGAATGTATTGGCAACTTGATTTTGAGGAAATCAAAATTAATGATACAAAAAATATATTCTGATGTCAAATAACAGTAATACAACCAAAAAGTAACAAATTTTATGGGTTTTCTCCAAAGATGGAAGCAAAGGGCCAGACAAGGAATATAGCTTTTGAAAAATGTGGATTAATCATTTTCAATTTAGAGACCTACGTTAATTTACTCCTGTCCAAGATTTGATATTCATATTGTACAACTGTATGGAAATTCAATACTTTTGCATAATGCATGGTGTATATTCAATTTCAAATTGTGACCCCAGTACCTCTCGAGGAGAGTGGAGGCTAGGATTGGGCCACATTTGGAGGTTATAAATGAGGATATATATATATATATATATATAAATATATATATATATATATATATATATATATATATATATATATATATATATATATATATATATATATATATATATATATATATATATATGAAAAAAGATTAATTGAATTTGAAATTTGACACTATGTTTGCAAAATTTAATTTAAATTCTTATTTGAACATGACTTTGTAACCGAGAAAGTAATCTGAAGCTCATAACTAATAGAAAGGTAGCGTGGGGATATACATTTGGAAAAAAGATCCATTGAGTTTGAAGTTCGACACTCTGTTTGCAATAATAAAAGCAGTGGTGTAATGTAACTAATTAATTTTTTTTGATTGAGCTAGAGACAAAACTTATATATTTAGGAGCATTTACGTCATGTAAACATTTTTATACATTTTTAATTGAAAATACAGTAGAACTCAGTTCTCATAAAAAGAGTTGCTTATAAGTAAATCTCAGTTGTTTTAGGAATTAAACTTTTATGCATTCCAAAATACATGCAGATATATAGAAACTTATAGTAAGCAAAATTGGCAAAAAAAAAGAAGCAAGATTGGAAGTCCTAGTAATTTTTAAATTCCCTATAAATTAGTTGTACTCTATGTTCTATTCTGTGTGTACTAATGACATGTTTTAAAAATACTTTTAAAATGTTGTATATTATACTTAGAGGTATTTGCTAGTAATGAGCATATGGTCCTCCATTATACCATACTGATAGCTTCTCAACGATTATAATATATGAATGATACATGCAAACAGTTAAAAAAATCTAGAAAAAAAATACATGTAATATTAATTGTAAAGGTAGAGATCGATATATATATAAATAATGTTATTATTAATTATGCGAATCAGACTAGCAGAACCAAAAAGCACATTCAGCTATGTTTTTTCGGCTTATCTTATATTTCTTTAATATGTTCTGCTAATTTATAGAATAAATGTATAAAAATGCAGTGGTACTAAGGAGATAATTAACCAAATGCTTTTGAATTGACAGAATCTGACATTTTTAAGTTTCACCGTAGACACAGATAGTATGTCATCACAGAGTTCAAACTTCAAATACCAGAGTACCTATATCCTCAGAAGATACATGCAAGCAGATTTGCCAATTGTACATATAAGTAAATATATGAATAATTTTTTTGACACTTTAAATTTTACAATACTAAGCTGAGTATATTTAATTTAATTATTCCCACCAACGCCAGAAGCTTAAGTAAGCTTTTTCAGTCAAACCTTTCCCGTCTGTCTGTCTGTTGTAAACTTTTGCATTTCGTTTTACATCAATAGAATCACACCTATATGTTAATTTCAACCATTGCAAACTTAGCCAGTTAGCACAACTCATGTTTTTTTTATGTCTCAGGTTAAGGAAATTCAAGTTTACTCAAATATACGGACTAACCATTTTCCAATTTAGAGGAACAAGAGAATTAAATTATTATTTGAACATGACTTTGTAACCGAGAAAGTACATGTAATCTGAAGCTCATAACTAATAGAAAGGTAGCTTGGGGATGAATATATATGAAAAAAAAAAGATTCATTGAATTTGAAGTTTGACACTCTGTTTGCAATAATAAAACATGCAGTGATGTAATGTAGCTAATTAAACTTTTTGATTGAGCTAAAGATAAAGATTATTTATTTAGGAGCACTAACGTCATGTTAACATTTTTATACATTTTCAATTGAAAATACAGCAGAACTCGGTTAATTCTCATAAAAAGAGTTGCTTATAAGTAAATCTCAGATCGATATATATATATATATATTTCCATTTCTATTTGTTTTCTCTGTGATAACTCTTTGAAAGTTAGGAGAGTTGATTTCTTGATCACTCTATCGGAATGCAAATTTCGCCAAGCGAAAGGTCAGGAGCTAAGAAGGCCTAGGCCTAATATGCATGTAATTCTCGTGCAGCTGTCTTTGTGTTTGACGTCAGTGGGCGGGGACTATTGAAATTGACATGTGAGGCCTCGTGTAATTTAAATCTATTATATATAGTCTACATTTTTAAAATCTAAATTTACAATTTTATTTCACAATGAAATGGAAATATAAGGAATCACTGTCTAGTTAGTAGAGTATGCCAGGGACATCAACGATAGTTGGAAACGTGGGATAATTTATGCAGGGACATATTTCTTAAATATATATATTATCCCATAGTATCGTTTATCATTTTTAAAATGTGGGCGCAAAATCTCTTTTTCAAGGAGGATGGTGGTGTTGGGTTCCAACCCAATATTTTTCTAAAACATTAAGAAATTACCATGACTAATATATGATACAATAAAAAAGTAAAATGTTCTGTTTGAAAAGAAAGTGTATGTGTGTGTGTGTGGGGGGGGGGGGTCCTCGTGCCCCCCCCCCCCCCCAATACTACGTGCCTACTTTTTATACGTTATTTAACAGTTTACTCACAACATGATATATATTTTATAATGTTAATTGCGGTATGAATATTTTATATAGGTGAAATTAGCGAGAGATGGCTCCTGGGTGATTCAGCATATCCACTTAGACCATGGATGATGACCCCATATTTACAGCCTTCTACTCCCTCGGAGCATCGCTATAATGCTTATCACATGAAAGCAAGAAACTCTGTTGAAAGATGTTTCGGCGTGTGGAAGGGTCGTTTTCGCTGTCTGGATAAAACTGGAGGTCCTCTGTTATTTCATCCTTCGAAAGCATGCAAGGTATAAACCAATAGTTTTATGGAAATATGAAATGTATACTTTTAAAATCCAATTTTATGATTTGACAAAATCTTCAAATTTTAGGTGATAGTAGCGACAGCGGTTTTGCACAACATGTGCATCAATCACAGAATAGAGTTGCCTGAGTCCGAAGTACTTCATCCACAGGATAATGATGACCTATGCTATAATGGTACAATGAATGACGGAAGAAGAACAAGGGAAAGCGTCGCCATAAGATTTATTTAATTTTATGACATAAAATCCGTAAAGCCTGCAGGTACAATGTAGTACTTAAGCACTTTTTGAGAGTCACACACCATAAACCCCCTGGAATGCCTCTCTACCTCCAGATCAAATCTTCTCTGTTCCAGATCTAGTCTTCTTTCTTCTAATTCCAGCCTTTTTTTCTCTACCTATTAAAGTATAAGTAAAAAAACATATGACAATAATAACTTGTATATTGTACTTGCTTTTATAATTGTACTCGTGGAAAATAATATTCATTCAGAAAAAAAGAATTATACAGTACTGATATTTTCATCAAATGTACCTCTAATCTCTCCCTTTCTATTTCCACTAGGTCGTGTGCCTCATCATTTCCCGAAGATCTTTTCCGTTTCCTGGAAGTGTTCTTTGACGTGGATTCTATCACACTCTCTTGTTGGTCGCTGAATGGAAACAATGTAAATTAAAGACACTTATGATATTTGTTTGGGAATAAAAGTATATTGTGTCATGGTGAAAATTCATTTATCTTATAAATTTAAAAACACATTGATTATCACCTATCAGCAACGAAAGTTTCCTGAAGACTTGTATTGGAGGAAGATGGGCCAGCTGTATCTATTCCCCCAGGAATTCCTTCTGTTGCTGTCTGTCCCATTGTCTCCAATACTCTTACGTCTGTCGCACTCAGTTCCACTGCTGAAGATGGCCCTCCTCCTGTTTTGGTAGCCTCCTTCCTCGCATACGATAACCTTTTCTTTGAGTCGCTGGAAACATTCCTCCATTTTTTCTTAACATCTTCGGCCGTTCGCATCACTCCACTTACCGAGCTTACCTTCATTTTAAAGAAATAAAAAAAAAATAACTTCCTAAATTATGATGTAAGAATATGTATATAAACATAAAATATAATTCTTAAATTAAAAAAAAAAGATATAAATATATATATATATATATATATATATATATATATATATATATATATATATATATATATATATATATATATATATATATATATTTCACATGTATTTTGCTACTAAATGTGTGGAAAACTATACGGCATTCAAAACACCATATTATGATAGAGAGAGAGAGAGAGATTTACCTTTGATGCCACACTGGCCCATGCTCTTTGTTTTGATGCGTTTGTAGAAGTGTTGTTAAACGAAGAATTAAGCACTTCTTTATGATTCTGAAATTCTTCTATCAAAGTCTCGATTTCCAGACTGGAAAAATTTGGTTTTCGAGCCATTATCTTCCGTAAACGAGAAGCAAATCCCAGTGAAAAAGACCGTGACAGATTTTTAAAGTCCCTTGGGACAATTGTGACAATAGCTAGGCGTGATTCAAGACATAAAAATATTCAGTCTGTGAGTACATATCACACTCACATGTAATAACCAACGCTACTTGATGTACTTTCATACTGTGTAATTTTTTAATTCAATACATAAGAATGACTTAGCTAAGACCTTGCTTAGTTCGCTTTATGTTACGGTATAAGACATACTTAAGTAGTACTTAGGCAGGTCCTAAAAATGTGCTTAACACTTACTTAAGACCCTACTTAAGTCAAAAACTTAGCATGCTTTATGTTACGACCCCCAGGTGATTATGACCAAGAGGTATTAATCCTACTTAAGGGCCTAGGGTAGTCATAGTTAATTTAAAAAAAAAATATCGTCCATTATGAATTTCAATAACCTGAGATTGTTCACTTTTATATTTTCATGTATTCCAACAACACCCTCTCAACAGAATCCTCAAGATAAATGAGAACCTCAATAAAGAAGATAGAAAAAAGATCAATGGTTTTAGTTTTCAATGTAGAAATTAATGTCACAATGTCTTTATTTAGACAGGGGGTCCAGAAAACAAGTTTCGATTCTTTCAAATTCAAAGTTATTTTTGCATAATCATGCATTACTTGTATCTGGATTAACTGACTAAGTAAGAAAAGATATTAAAAATCCATGGTAAATGTTCAAGAAAAATTCATTTGCAAGAAGCAAAAAATCATTTGCAAGAAGCAAAAATTCTGTTTCCAAGGAAGGATAGAATTAATGGATTGATCTTTGGGGCACTTATAGATAATAGCTTGATATTAATTTCTGGAGTACAAAAAATATGCTTGTCTTCGCAATATGATTTTCATATGAAACCTGGGTTTCTTTTTTCACATGAATTTTGTGCAAATTTCTTTTCGCATGAATTTTGTGCAAATTTCTTTTTGCATGATATTCGTGTGAATTTCTTTTCGCATGATATTTCCTGTGAAAATTGCATGATATTTTCGTGCAAATATCATGCGTGGCCCTTTTCATCTCCTCATGCAAAAAATTCGCATGATATTCGTGCGAATTTCATATGAAGTTCATGCAAGCCACTTTTACCTGTATAAAGAGAACATTAACGTTCACTAAATTTTTACTTTAGGAAGATGTACTTTCTTTTTCTTTAAAGCCGAGGCCCAAAAGTGGTGGTGGCACTTTTCATTTCATGACACTTACTACATCAAAATAACAAAGTTACTACATTCTGACACTTAATTACCAAAGTACTTACCTTTCTCAATGCTTTATCAGATTATAGATGCCTGTTTTTATACCTGAAGCTAGAACCCTTACCTTTGTATGGTACTTTTTTGCCAGACTACATATGTTTATACATATATTGTAGCAGATTTTACATTTAAATGACATTTTAAATAGATGTTCTTTTTAAGAATACTTACGTCTACATGTGCATTAACAGAATACTTACGTCTACGTGTGCATTAACAGAATACTTACGTCTACATGTGCATTAACAGAATACTTACGTCTACACGTGCATTAACAGAATACTTACGTCTACACGTGCATTAACAGAATACTTACGTCTACATGTGCATTAACAGAATAATTACGTCTACATGTGTATTAACTGAATACTTACGTCTACACGTGCATTAACAGAATACTTACGTCTGCATGTTTATTAACAGAATACTTACGTCTACAAGTGTATTAACAGAATACTTACGGCTACACGTGCATTAACAGAATACTTACATCTACACGTGCATTAACAGAATACTTACGTCTGCATGTGTATTAACAGAATACTAACATTTCTGATACTTCTGTTGACACATACCCTGTAAATTGCCATCACTTTATCGTTTACACCCGCTTTGTCAGAAAATTGAGTTTATACGTAGTCATCTTGCCAGAAATTATGTTTACAGGACGCAATTCCTGCTTGAATACTGCAGTTTGCATTTGCCTTAACTAAATACTTGTGTTTACAATTACCTTGCCTGAATACATGCATTTTTGCATTTTTACGTACTTTGCCAGAACACACAAGCAAAAACATCACCTTGTCAGAGTGCTTACTTTTATACATGCCTTTCTTAATTATACCAATACTTACGTTTCACACGTGCATTACTTAATCAGATGAATACTTACGTTTTATACGTACCTTACTCAATCACATGAATACTTACGTTTTACACAAGCCTTACTTAATCAGATGTATACTTACGTTTTACACGTGCCTTTCTTAATTATATGAATACTTACGTTTTACACGTGCCTTACTTATTTAAATGAATACTTACGTTTCACACGTGCCTTACTTAATCAGATGAATACTTACGTTTTATATGTGCACTACTTAATCAGATTAATACTTACGTTTTATACGGGCCTTTCTTATTAGAGAAATACCGACATCTTACGAACGAACGTAACCAAAAAAGGGGATCGTTTATTGTATTCACAGTTGCATAATTGAATTCTTCAATGTTAATGAGCTTTCAAAAGATAAAATCCCCGCAAGATACCTCAAAACTACTTCTTGTCGTAGTCGCTACCGAGACGCTACGATACAATTCAATGGACATTTAAACGAGCAAAGGGGTTCCGAAAAGGGAAATGAAGGGAAATTAAAAAATATCTTGTATCATGGCTGTGGTGTTTCTCCTTAGAAGTCAAGTGTACAATAACTGGAGATACACCGATGGGCGGAGCCAGCTAAAACTGTGCCGTGTAAATAAATTAAATGTGCTTTGTTGTATACAAAGACAAAATTTCTGCCAATGAAATAAAGGTCTTTCACATAAATTACAGTGCACATGTATCCCAAAATACGAAAATGTTTTTACCATGTTTACGAAACTCTGCAAATATTCGATTCACCGCATCGAGAAATCAAGTTCTTTACATGAATTTCACAAATAAATATCTTAAAATATCACCTATTGTAATAGAGCCTTTTAGCAGGATATACCATTTTTGCTGTATTCTTTGCTCAACTAGAATAAAGTTCAGCTGCACTGCATCCATAGATGAAGCGTTTTTGCTCATGTCACAGCTCTCGAATATGTCAAATGTTCAAAGGGTATCTTTTTTTCTTGATTTTCGATTAACACCTGAATTTCCCTTCTTCAACTTCGAATTTTTCATCCTTGATATCCAAAGGTTTTCTTATGAATTTCATTAATAATCCGTTTTTATATTAAGTTGGAGAGCTGCAATCCGACGTCACACACAAAAAATGTGCGAATTAAAAAATACTGGCGGGAAGGAGAGAATATCCATGCGGTCACCTGACAAAAACTATATTTTTTATTGGTGTAATTAAAAATCATAACAATTTTTGACGTTTTGATTGGCCATGATACAAGAAAGTTATTGAATTCGCACTCGTCACCGCCCTTCTTCCAAATAAATCAGGATACACCATAATAAATATACAATAACTATTACTTATTGTGAAGCATGGTCAAAGATTCTTTCTTACGGAAAAGAGGGCTACGGAGAGGTAAAAAAAATAAACATAAAACAATGACTTTTTTGTTCATGCTACTGGCTAAACTTTGAACATGTAATTATAAAATTTACAGTAAAGTTGTTTTCTTTATCTGACTTTTTTAACTGATTATTAAGGGAAGAGTGATGTAACTTCAACCAACTGGGCAATTTCGATCTATCGCGAGTACCAGATAAAGTTTTGTTTAATAACTTTTATTGTGTATGTACGTACATCTATTTTCTGCAGAAAAAATTGACAATAATTTTAGTTCTATGAGCGTAAGTTGCTCATTGGCATATGAAGATATCTAAGAAGAAGCTCTATCAACCTAAAAATTATGAACGCCCCCCCCCCCCCCACCCCGGCCGGATTCATGATATGGCTATGATGCATGTATATTTGAAGCCAGGTTTAATTTTTCGCAGAATATAGTATTTCGAACAAGTATTTCTAAGCCATTACGAGGAATTATCACCTCTGACAATATCGAATAGAAAATTAATCAATAGCCATCCCTTACGTGACATATAAGAGAATGTTTTTGCAACTAAAACTCGTGCACATTTAATTCAAAATATTTATTTTTTACGAATCTAAATGCAATGCAAGTCAGCTGAATAGAAATTGACCTAAGTTACCCCTGTGCACATGAATGCTCCGTCGGTGAGTAAATTTCAGACACGTTTTGTTACATGTACAATGTAATATGATAATGTATGAATATAATATTGTTCTGAAAAAATGTTGGAACCCCCCCCCCCCCCCCCACACACACACACACATACACATGAAAGAGGATTTTAGAGTTTAAACAATTCCTCCCCCGTTTTTCCTTGTCAGATTTTTCAGGTAAGTTGAATTTTTCTTTTCTGCCTCCCCCCCCACCCCCCCGTCCTACTTTTAAAAACGAAATTAATATATGTTTCTGGTTTGACTAATGAAAAATGACTCAATAAATCTGCAGCATTTACGATTTTTACCAGAGAGAATTTATGACTGTATTAAAAAAATGAAAAAGTATCAGTAGAAACTAATATATCAATGAAAACTCGTCTGTTCGGTTCATATGCCTGTGTGTGCAGGCACATGCATTTGAAGCAGGCCTTGACAACTCAGTGAATCAGCGTAGTAGTCGTGCACTCGATGTCTTCAAATTATTCACATTGTGAAAACTGCCGTATCATTTTGTCAGTATACTTGAATCACTCTTTTCTTGTTTTACAACAGGTAATTATGATTTTTTTTTTCCCTTACAGATGACGCAAAATATAATTTCGAATATAGTTTTTTTTTTTTTGTTTTTTTTTTTTTTTTTGTTTTTTTTGTTTTTTGTTGTTTGTTTTTGTTGTTGTTGTTGTTGTTTTTTTTTTTTTGGTATATTGGAGCTTCGGTCGAAATTACTCTGTGTGCGGTCAAGGCTACCCTTCACATATACAGTGTATCTTGTAA